TGGCTCTTACGAATGGGCTTCCAAGTTCTGTAATGGATAATGGGGGGAGTTGGCTTGGGTTGAGTGGTTACTTATCAGGATTTGTGCTACTGGTCTCCAGGCAGCATATAAATTACTACTAACTTGTTGTGGTAGAGAATGAAGGCAAATTCCTTCTGTAAAAAGGCATGCAGCTCTCCTTGATTTATTACTTGTGGTGACATTCAGCTGACTAATGAGAAGGATCAAACTGCTCCATGACACCGTATCGACTTTGTCCTAACTCTTGGAATTCTACTTGTACATTGAGGCTTATTGCTCAGCTGTAAGGAAATGTACACGGTAGTTAGAGGGAAGAGGTTTTTGTGCTCCCGTCCCTGTGGTGACTTTGAAGCGGTTTGTCAAGTGATATTTCAGGCTCTGCAGCCTCACACCAGGTGTGAACCCGGGGGTAACGACTTTGTTAAATTTTCTCAAAGCTGGTTCAAGGACTTTGAACAAGTACAAAGTGTGTGATGTTTGGGGATTGCCTGCATTGTTATGGATAAAAAAAAATGATTCATACTCCATGAGAGACAGCTACCTTTGGACAGAAAGAGGTAAAATAGGTCACTATGTCAAAAAGAGCCAAGGAATGGAGAGAAACTCCAGCAAGACCTATCCAGATGCAGGCTGCTAGAACACCATGGTAGTCAGAAGGTGTTGCCCTGGGCTCTGTTTGGCACGTGTTTGGTCTGCCCAATTGAAAGTAGGCAGTGTCACAGAGACCCAGGATACTGAGGTTCTTTCATCCTTAAAGGGCACTGTGAGTCTTAACATGGAAGACTAGACACTCATCCTGTAGAAAAGAGCAATAGCCACCATTGTGTAGAGTGAAGTGGGACTGAGAGAAATTCCATCAGATGGGGACTCACGCAGAGTCAGTTGTGTGAAGTATGTGATTAATATTATAATGATGCCGTCTTAAAATCATATTGCCCTTCCACTTAGCAGCTTCCTTTAAAAGAAAGAAAGAAAGAAAGAAAGAAAGAAAGAAAGAAAGAAAGAAAGAAAGGAAGGAAGGAAGGAAGGAAGGAAGGAAGGAAGAAAGAAAGAAAGGAAGGAAGGAAGGAAGGAAGGAAGGAAGAAAGAAAGAAAGAAAGAAAGAAAGAAAGAAAGAAAGAAAAAGGTAGAAAAGAAACCATGTGATCCAACCAGACATGCTGCTAGAACATTATTTGAAGAGACCACAGCTAAGTGACAGGATAGCTGTTATGGCCCCTACACTCCACCATCTCTTTCCTTGAACATACAGTTTACACCGCAGATAATTGTTACAAGGGAGTCATGTCCTGTGACCTACCGGTCAGTTCTCTGAATTTGTTAAATATATCCCTCTTTCTCTGGAACTAGAGCAGAATGAACATGCAGTACTATGATGGAGAAAACAAAGTGGAAGTTTAGGGTAAGACAGCCATTGAGTTTGATGATGCCCAGTCCTAGGAAACAAAATGAGTCTTGCATCCAGCCTGTAACCAGAGAATTGGTCCCTAAAATCCATCCTTGTCCTCTTGATCTGTACAAGTCCAGGCTTCCTACTTTGTACCTTCCCAGATGAAGGAAAGGGGGATGGGAAGCAGAGAGAAGGTAAAAGTGGGGTTTCCACTCACTAAAGTGGTGAGCTACCTCATTCCATGAACGGGACAGGACAAGGACCAACACTGGAAGGGGCTTCACCCTCCCCATCCACCATACTAATTGTGCTTGCTCAGTGAGCTCCTGTCCTTCATCCTTCCTCTCCAGTTCCCAAATCCAGACACCCAACTCCCAAAAGCCATAGCAAATTAATAGTATTCAGTGTCTTCCCAACTGTCACAGTTCTGCCCAGCATGCAACGTCTGACTTCTATTTTCCTATAGGACAGCTGGAGGTTTCAGGCAGCAAACAAAGATGTCTCCAACCAAGGTGGAAATAAAGACAACTATCTTATTATTCAGTGCATGCAGATAGCCCTGCCACAGAGGCTTACAAAGGCACGGTGAAATCCCACATGTTTTATAAATCAGCATGCTAGAAATAACAAGCAAACAGCTCAAGTCTCCTGAGGAGACAAACAGTTCTAGCTCAAGATAGGATCCCAGACACCTTCCAGGGAGGCATGGTAGCATTTGGAGGGGTCATGACCTTAGAGATTTCTGTGTTGTAGAACCAGAGGTTGAGCTTATCTGGGCAGCCCAGAAGACAGCATTTAAATTCCAAAAGATTAGAGCAAGGACTCTGGCCTCTTGTGCTCTTACACAGACTTGGTACTAATAACAGGAACACCAGGAGTCTCTTGAGCAAATCATCCATTTCCAAGATGCCCAGCTCATAGTGAAAGAGTAACCCCAAGCTTTTTGGACCTCCAGTCCTGGAAGGCTGGCTACCCCACATGGCTTTTTTCCTTCAGTGCCACCACACACTGAGTATTTTTATGTAGGCATGGGCAGGGGGTTGGAAGTGTAGTTTTCTTAAGTGACACCATTTAGCAGCATCTGCCAGCATCCAGATGTTCATTCTGGGGAGGTCAGGGTCTCAGCAAGCTGGCCAAAGGAAAGCAGTCTGTTCATGTAAAGGATCTCATATAAATGACAACAAATGGCAGTCTCCTAAAGCAACCAAGGGAAGGGGTAGCAAAGATTCCTTTCTCATTCTGGGGAATCTCTGGTTCATAACCTGAATCATCTCCAAAGGCTGCATTGGGGAGAGTCCTGCCTTCTCCACTTGCTTGACCTTAATTCTCAACACCTAGCCCGTGCACCTAAACTTTAGTTTGATGCTTGTGGTGTCCATCTAAAATGCAGTTCTGAGCTTCTTCTCTTGCTCAACCAATTGGGAGTGCAGCCAAAGAATATGCATTTTTACAAAGTATCCCCAAGTAATTCTGAAGTCAGTGTCATCAAGACTGACTGACCTACCCAATCACTATACAGCAGCCTATTTGCTTAGGTGGGGACTCCTGGAAGGTAGAGTTACCTGTGCCCATAGTAACCTAGGCTCTTTTAAGTTGTGGGCCTTAGAAAGGTTTCTGGGAGTGTATTTTGGCCTCTGAAAATGTGACCCTAGGAATATTTGTTAGTTCTGGCATATGTATTAAGAAACATAACATGTTAGAAAACTGAGTTAAACTCTTCAGCAAGTGGTTTTTGTTTTTGTTTGTTTGTTTGTTTGTTTGTTTGTTTTTAATAAAATTTCTCTGGCACTTGGGTTAGCTCACAGATGGTTCAAACTGTCCCTTTTTCTCTCCACCAAAGATCACGCTATGTCCTCTGTAGATTCCTGGACAGAGTTGATAAGCAAACCTGCTTTTAGCTTGCAGCTCTAAGCCCAACACCCCTGACACCTAGGCTCAAGATAATCTTAAATTATAAGCTTACTTTCATCTAGTGATTTTCTGTTTTGTGACTTGGTATATACACTTGACCCTGTGATAGGGACAAAGCCTATAATAGCAATGGACTTCCTTTGTCCTTCAGAACTGAATGGTCTGTCTCTTCCTGAAGGGCCTCTGTCATGCTATCTATGACATCTGTCTCTCCTAATAAAGCTCTTCCTCAGACCTGAAGGTCTATTCTTTCCCTGCAGGGTCCCACTATTGTTGCCATGGCAATGATAGTATGACTCCCCTAATGGGCTCTTCAGAGGGGTGATTCTTCTCAGCTTTCTATGCAGTGCTTATGACATCTTGCATTTTAACATGTTAATATTATATTTGAGGGACAACATAGAATACCCCCAGTTTATATGGCCACAGTCCTCTGTGAATTTGTAGCCTGCCTTAGGAAAGCCTGATTCATGGCTCTCAGAGACACATTAGATAATTTCTCTGTTGTACCTTAATGACAACTGAAATACTTGATTTGGCTATGTAAAATAATGTCAGATAGGCAAATGTATATGGGCTGGCTCGTATACATGCCGATCAAAAAGCATTGTACTCCAAGAGTTAAACTATCTCAAGTGTTCTCGTACATTGTACATGTACCATTTAATGAAGTCTTCATAAAGTGGGCAATATTCTTCCTAGTCATTGATAAAGATGCTAGATCTTAAATAATTATCTAAGATCACACAGTTAATGTGTGACCATCTTGAGATTCTCCAGCAGGATACAAACCCAGCCAGTCTTTCTGAGAGCCACATTCTTTTCTCTATAGTCTATTGTCTCCCAAGAAATACAATAATAAAGTACAGGCATCTCATCTTTTGTGGGTTTAGTTTCTACTGTTTGATATGATAGAAGCTAAGCTAGAGAAATCTTTAAATCACCCATAAATTAGTTGTGTAAGATTTGGTATTACGTTTGTATAAGTATACAATGTATATATGCATGTAAAAAAAATTGTATGGTATTTTTTGCCAAATAAAAGAAAAAATACTTGTAGAGTCAGTCAAATTTGAGCAGGTTAGATGACTACATGGTAACTCTTTACACATACGTACATATAAATGAGGGTCAGATTAACAGTGAAAGCATGTGATATACCTGTTCCATGTGAGAGCCAGATTAGTATTCTGTCATTAACTGATTTGATCTACATTTGAGTGAACTGAGGCCCAAAGAAGCTGCCCAGTTTCAGTCTCTACTCATGTTTCTAACATGCTCTATGATGACGCATCTGGCCTAGTAAGGGAGAAAGCAGAAAGAACCTAATGACGCTTATTTTCTTCCATTCTGGCCCAACTAACCCCAGGTATGAAATGCAGTGAGTTGCAAAATAGTCAAGGCCTGGGCGTCTTGTCTTACCAGAAGAGAGCTATTGGCTGTGGCTTCAGCTCTGCCCTGGAGCCGTCTGTCTTCCTGGGAGGAGTGAACCCCAGCCAGTTGAAGTTCTCTGGACAGTTCGCGGAATTGTTCAAAGCAGTAGAAATTGGAAAAAGGTCCAAGGGTGTTGACAAAGGGACAGAAATCTGCAGCATTAGAACACAGTGTGCATCTTTGACGTACAGACCTCCATCCCCTTGAGACAGGAGGAAGCCAGAATATATGATGTAGTCAGCTGTTGACTTGTAATGAGAAAGTACTATCTTTAATAAATGGGGCAAGATTGGGGGAGAAAGCTCATAGGTCTTAGTGGGCTGCATGATGGCAGTCAGGAGCTACCTGTAAAGATGAAGGGGGGGTGAATTAATTACTTTTCTCATTGTGTGACACAATAACCAGACAAAAGCAACTTAGGAAAGAAGAAGCTTACCTGAGCTCACCGTTTGAGAGCATATTGTCTGCTGTGGAGGATAAGGTATCACAGTAGACAGCTTTATGATGACAAGAGTGTGTGGCTGGGACCCCTCACCTCCTCATAGCTTGGTGAAACAGAATTTAGAAAAGGAACAGAAAGTGAATAGGGCCAGGACATAAAAACCCAACCAGTGACCCACTTTCTCCAGCAAGGGGTCATCTTCTAAAACTTCCACAACCTTCCAAAAACAGCACAAACATGGGGGATTAAGTGTTCAAACACATACGCTCACTTTCAAACCACAACAAGAATAAACAAAACTGCCCTCCAGCCTATGAAGCTACACCCATCCCTCCTAGGGAGCCTCTTAGGATCTCGAATCCATTTTACCTGCCTTCCTTCTCATAGCTGCATGCCAAGTTTGTAAGCAATCCCTCCCAAGATGGCAGATGACAAAGAGACTGAGGTACTTCCAAAGGATGCCACGAAAGGAAGCCGTGTCTGCCAGATTGCAAAGACATTTCTAGGCCGCATGCCTTTGTAATGTGTTGCAAATAACAACTGAGCTCGTGCTGCCTACTTTTGTGTGGTGGAGGGGGACCAAGTTGGAAATTCGAGGAAGTACTTCAAAGTCTGGCCTGAATAATCTTTCACGCCTAAATTTAAAGATGTAAGCTGTCCTTGCAAAATATAATTCCCTATTCCCGCTCATTTATCAAACCTTTGTCTTTATACATAAAAACATTTAGTTCTACAGAAATTTTGAGTCCAAAAATATGGATCAGGTCACTGGAAGTTTTACATTCCTTTTTATGTTTTTCTTCCAGGCATTTCATCCCATCTCAGGTACTCCCTCCTCTGCCAGAACCCCTCTCTAAGGCCACTGCAAATAAGTTTCTAGGTCCTTTTGAGACATGAAGCTATTTTGAAAACATATGGTAAGTCAGTCAAGACTCCAGGGCTCTTGAGCATTCATTCAACAAAAGGCGTTTCAAGGTCAATCTTGTCAATTAATGCAGCTGAGAGGATGACCTACAGCCCATGACATGAAAGGGCCATGATGGTGTTACACAAAGAATGGTTCTCAGAACTCCTGTTTCTGGAATTACCAGGAAAACCTGTTAGCATGCCAAGCCTGGTTTCTGATGCTGGAGAGTATCAGGACTGAAGCTTTCAGTCCCTCTGAACTACAGGCCCATTTGGATGGCAGATAGCCTGTAGCTTGTTCCCTGAAGATTTCTGCCTCATCCTCTACGTGCAGGACAGCACTCCCTGGAGGCACTGAGGAGATGGGAGAGGTAGCAACTATTCATCAGCACAGATGCTTCTCTTACGTTGTCTGGGAACCTTCTATGCAGACTTGCTTCCTGGCCAAGGGACACTTAGATTTTTATCTTGACTGGAAGTCAATCCTGGGACAGCTTGGCCATGACAGTTGGTACATCTTCTGAAGAATTCCTCAACAATTTGCTATTCTTTGTCAACCTTTAAGCCTCCTCCGAGAACACAGGGCATTCTCAGCCTCCCATGATTTAAGTAATCAGCCAGGTCTACAAAAAGACAATGCCAGGAGGCAGTATGGTCTATGTGCAAATTTCCTATCTGAGACTCACAGTGGTGTATCAGATTACCCTGTGTGCTTCTATTGTCTCCTCTGGAAAATGGGAATTAATCAGTCTTTCTCTTAGGTTTATTATAATAATTGAATGGAACACTGCCCACTAAATTCTTAAGTCTGGAATGTCAGAAAACAGAGCCGTGCCCAGCATTCATAGTGTCTTTATGCTATTAGAAAAACTTATCTACCCGAGAGTAGACAATGTCAGAGATGCCTCTTTTTCTGGGATGGCTCAGCCTGGGGTTTCTGCTGATGTCTTTCAGAAGCAGAGTGCCTGCTCAGCTAGCATACTTTTGGCTAGACACTTTCTATAAAACTGACGCTGAGGCTCAGTCAATACCTGTTAGTACAGCAATGAGGCTGGCAAAGAAACCAATGCTGAGAGTCCCCCAAATCTTACACCTCCTCCACACACTCACCAGAATTCTCCCCATCTACAGGCCCAGACAGAATCACACCCTCCAACCAGGGGGTCGGAGTGACTCAGTACCAAGGTGCTATGCTCAGCAAACGCTCATCTTGGGGAAAAAAAAAAAAAAGAAAACGAAAAAGAAAGCGAAAAAGAGAACAGAGAACAGAAGCATAAAATCAAGATGAGTTTTCTTTTCTGAGCTTTTTACCAGCTGATCACGCTTCCTGTTTCTCTGAGGGCTTCCCTGACAGGCAGCTTGCTTCATATTTGGACATTGCCCTCTCACCTTCCTGGGTGAGTCAGTGCAGTGGACCCCGTGCACCTCAGCTCCAGGGCTCCCATGTGTGTGTACTCTGCCCATTTCCTGGACTTCCCAGGTAATCCCCCCTGCACAGAGAAGTCACCCTACCCACAGCCCACACCCCTCTGCCTCTGAAACATGCACTGGGGACGTGAGTCAGGGCATTTACCCATCCTCTCTTTCTGAAGCTATTATTGGAATGCCTGTGCACGCAGTGCATGCCTGCTTCCCGTATTTCACAGGCCAGGGATCCAGGAGCTGCTAACCACACACTGCTTGGTCCGAGATGCCACTCGGATGATCAAGAGCTGGTTGCTCGGAAGAGTGTGTGCTTCCAAGAAAGCAGGTTTGTTGAGTCCAGAGATCTCCACCTCCTTCAACTAGCACCAACCATGTGTCTGGGATGTGTGCCTAGTTGTGTGCCTTGCCTCTGTGGGTGGTACAAAAGAAATTGTTCTGGATTGAATTTAGAGGAGGAGGCAGAGCCGTGGAAAGCAAGAAAGGCCGTAGCAAACACATGTGCTAGGCGAACTCTCCGGGCAGAGGCAGCTGGGAAGCTCTGTGTAGGAGGAGAAAGGGGAGGGCAATTCAGAACACAGGTAGCTGTGGGGGAGATGATGGACCAGATGCTGCCATCAGCTCAGGAAAGATGCAGAGGGGGCATGAGTTGGACTTGTTCCCTCAAACCTGAGCATTGAGCTAGATCTGGAGTTTAAAGTTGCCTCCTCTCTATGCTAGGTAATTAGCAATTTAATAGGATTTTGTTTGCTTAGGAGTGTTCCTCTCTGCCAGTCAAGGGTGTTTGCTTCTTTTGCCCTTAATAGAGAAAGAGACTGAGGTCAGAGAGGTAAAGGCCTGAAGCCTCAGTCCTTCCATCAGAGCAGAGGGGTGACATACACATTCAAGAGGTCTACCTTCTGAGCTTTATAGCCATGGGCAGGGAGAAATTTTTCCCCTTTTAAGTAGAAGTGTGAAGGGGTGGGGAGAGTCTAGTTTCTGCATCCCTTTTCTTTGAAAACCTAATGTTGATCTCACTTTGTAGATGAAGATCTTGGTTTATGCCCAGCTAGCTGGGCACTAGGGAAAGTTTTGGTGCTTGCTGCAGGTTGGATAATGGTGTGGTCTTCTCAAATTCAGGAAGCCCATTGCCATGGTGATCTGGCAGAGGTAGAACTCCTGACGGAGGCATTGATTGACTTCTACATGTTCCCTAGTTGACACTGGCATGAAAACATGAGTGTAAGTATACATACAAAACCCTTTGTCTAGGAAATTTTCAGGTCCCAGGAAAGAAGACTGGAAATGGAGAAGCAGTTCTAGGACCTGTGTGGAGGCAAGTCCCAGAGGGGGTTCACAGAAGCCTGTATCTGCTGAACCATAATGGGAACTGAGTGGAAAGAATCGAGGATGGGGGTGGACAAGACATCCCCCTCTGAAGTCTCAAGCACACGTAGTATCCCAGAACACTGGGGAGCCATTTGGTCTCTTCCTTCCTCCTGACAATGGGAGGAAGTGGCAAAACCTCAGTAGCCCACTGTGATGAGTCACAGAAGCTGCTGAGGACCCTTTAGTTTGTCACAACTGATTGAACATCTGACTCCCATCAGCTGGGAAAGTGGGGCTGATGCAGAGTAGTTCTGTGAATTGAAGCTGACTCAACTCCCTCCCTTCCTAGATGCAAATCTTAGAGTAGCCGCCTCATGACGGTGAAGAGAGCCCTGTTGGGAAACAGTAGTATGCAGACCCCTTCAGCATTACTGAGAGCATTGTCATGTGTCTCAGTTCCACTTCTAGCTCTCTCTCCCAAAGAACCTATAACAGAGGAGTACACACGTGTTCTCATGCTCAAAGCACAGGTATTCACAATAGTTTCCCAAGTGTCCCATGGGCAGGTAAGCGAAGTTTTAAAAGTACCATGTACATCTGGTGGAATATTACTGAGTCTGTAAGAAATGCTAACAGGTGGTGCCTTGGGGGAACCTCAAGGATGCCGTTCTGTTCCACTTGTATGACATGTCAGGAATAGTCAGAGTTTAGAGACAGTGTGTCGGAACAGTGGTTGCCAGACACTGGAGGGAGGGAGACTGTGTCGTTGTTTCATGGGTACAGAATTTCAGTTTTGCAAGATGAAAAAGTTGATGTCCTATATATTCCTTCACATTTTTTAATTTAAAAACAATGAAAAGAGAAGGCCTCATTTTGTCTGATACATGACTATACCTATGTGAATTAATGCAAGAATCTTATGTTATCCATGTAAATGGCAGACCTGTGTGGAGCTGGGGAGGCTGGTGTTGATATAGACATTGGAAGCACTTCTTAGTCCTTGCTTCCATAGACAGAACATGATTGCATAGTCGTGACAAACCAAGGGAAACTGGAAGACACCCCCAAGAATTTCTGTGACTCATCACAGTGGGCTACCCAGTTCCTGTCAACTCCTCCTATACTGTTGGGGACACACAGTTCGGTGTCTCTTCCAGCTTTTACCACCCAGGTGGCTTCCACCACCCTGACCCATAGAAGGAAAGGTGTCTGAATTTAAAATTACCATGTGGTGCATGCTGGAGACATTCAGAGTTCTGCACTGGTGCCTCTGAGTTGCAATCCTTTCAGATCCAGGGAGCCTCTTTCTTAGGTGAAACTGAAGCATAGCTAGAAAAGTTTTTGAAATCTAACTGAAAACCTACTACTTTAATAGGTCTCGATAAGCAACCTCCACCAGCTGCTACATTAACTGCTTTCAACAAAATGAAGTGATCCTCGTATGATAGCCAGGGTAAGAGATTTACT